AAATTTTATTTTAATAATTTTAATGAACATTTACAGAGATTTTAGATTTCCATTCATTTATTCATTGTTGCACTTTTCTCCCTACCCAGCGACCCCCCCCCACCCCAGTTTGCTCCTCTCTTTGAAAAAGTAAAAGAAAAATTATTTCTTTGGTATACAATCCACCCCGCACCTTTTTTAAATGACTGCTTCTAGTTGTTGCTATTATGTATTGTTGAGTTGGAACCGACTCTTATCTGACCCTTTAATGCATTTCCAGAGTCAGTAAATCACATGAGAGTTGATTGATCATCTTGCTCCTGAGAAACAGCTGGTGGATTTGAACTGTGCACCTTTGGGTTAGCAGCTTAATTTCTTTCCACTAAGCTTTCAGAGCTCCCTAACTGATTGTTACTGAACGAACAAACAAAATTTATTTTTCCCCATATCATCTCAATATTGCAATTTAAGGCTTGAATTTGTTTACCAGTTCTTTCAGCTTGAGAATACTAAACAAGTTCTTCCCTTTTAATTTTCTGACTCCAGATTTCTGCCAATTTTATTATGATACTTTGCTGTGTCTTTGTGAGCTGCCCTTTAAAATATTTTGTTCATCTCTTACTCTGCCATATTTTCACTTTTTCCTTATTTTTCGACATTCTAGTGTAAAAAAATCCTCACCACTGATCTAATAGACACTATGATGACAAAGAGAAAATATTTAAATTGTAAACGATTTCATCTTGCTTGAATACATAGTCAACACCGAGTAATTAAAAAAGTCAAAAGATGTGATGCCCTGGGAAAATCTGCTGCCAAGGATCTCACCAAGGTGCCAAAGAGCAAAGATGTCAGTTTAAAGACTAGGGTATGCCTGATCTAAGTGATAGTCTTCAGTTGCTTGCTATCTGAAAGTTCAACAGTGGTTAAGAATGACAAAGAAGAATCAATGCCTTTTCTTATTATGGTGTGGAGAAGAGTACAGAATATCCCATGGACTGCCAAAAGAACGAACAAATATGTCTTGGAGAAAGTACAACCAGGGTTTTCCTTGGAAGCAAAAATGGTCAAGCTTTAGGGGAGCTCTGGTGGCCTAGTGGCAAGAAGCTGCACTGCAATCCCAGAGGCACACGGTTCAAATCCACCAGATGCTCTGCCGGGGAAGGAGGGACAATCCCCTCCTGTACCAGTCAGATCTGATTTGACAGTACACTCAAATAATAAAATTTAAAAAAAAAATGGTCAAGCTTCTTCACCTCACATACTTTGTGCATGGTGCTAGGAGGGGGTCTGTCTTTGGAAAAGGACATCACGCTCCAAAAAAAGCAAGGTCAGCGAAAGAAGAAGACCATCATCAAGTTGGATTGACACAGTGACTAGAACAAAGGGCTTAGTACATCAGATATGATGAAGATGGCATAGGATAAGGCACGATTCAAACTTGTTTATAGGGTCACTGTAGGTCATTGCCAACTCAGCAGTACATAACTATGTAACAACTAAATCAAAACCAAACCCATTACATTTGTATTGATTCTAAGTTTGGGGATCTCTTAGAACTTTTCTCTAGAGTTTTCTTGTCTAGAATCTCCACTAAAGTAGATAATCAGGCCTTTCTTGCATGGTGCTACTGGAAGGGTTGGACAGCTAACCTTTAAGTTAAGAGTTGAGCATTTGTGTTATATTGAGACCTTATTAACCACTACTAAAAATAAGAACTGTACTTGTTGCTGGTTTAAGGAAGTTAAACCCAGAAATAAATTATTGATGGTTTGTTCTATATTATCATTTGGGTCACATCCTGATCTATATTCAGAAGCTTACCTTTTATTTCTCTTGCAGAAATATTATCTGTATTTCCAGAAACTGGGAGCCTTGGGGGAGGAACAGACTTAACAATTACAGGAGACTTCTTTGACAACCCAGCCCAGGTGACCATTGCAGGTAACTTCATTGAAATGACTGAAAAATCGTTGATAGTTTCAAATGCCATGGGTGATTATCCTGTAGCTGGAGATTGTGGAGGGAAGCAGAGTTTGTCCTTCAGATTCACAATATCACCTTAGCTGGAAATAGGTGGGAAAACTGAAGGTCTGCATCTCTGCAAAATGTGTAGCAGGAAACAGGATGCCAGTGATGCTTTCCTGCAGGGATGCTCATAATCCACGGTCTGTTAGCTCTCACTGGAGTTTCCATCTTTGGGGTATGGGCTGGGACAAGCAGAGTGATTGCTTTCTTCATCACAGAAAAATAAAAAACTAAAGTTTTGTGTGTTTCATTCTAAACCTTTACTTGTTTGCATTAAACAGCAGCTGTGTCCCTTGCTCTAAAAGGTAACCAGTGACTGGATTTTGCACCACGTCTACCTCAAAGCAGTCCAATTTGCACCATGGTAGAGCTGTGAGCTGATTGGATGTTGCACCAAGTCGACCTCATGGTAGTCCAACATGCATCGTGGTAGAGTTGTGCTCCCTGGCAGATTGAAATCCAGCTCCAGGCCTTCCTTCTGAAGCTCCTCGTGTTAACTCAAACCTCTAAACTTTGGATTAATAGCTTTAATGCATGCACCACCCTGTGTCTCTGGAGTGGGCAGATATTGCTAAGCAGATTCTTATGGAAAATTCTCTTGCGGGATCTTTCTAGTACATTTGTTCTACCAAGGACTGGATTCCTTTGGCTGATGGCATCAGAAAAGTGGCCTCACTTCTGCATGCTGGAGTAACGCTTGCCTTCTGTAGCTCTGCTGAGTGGATGTCAGCTGAGACTTGTCCAGTACATCCTCACTGCGTTCTTTTCTCTCTGGTTACTATAAGTTGCTTTAAGGTCTACTGCTCTGTACACTCCTTTTCCTGGCTTCCTTCTATTTGGGGTACAATTTTTACTCTGCTCTCTACATCTGGCCTTTTGCCGTAGAATAGAAGCCAACCTACTTGAGTTGGGTTTGGCTACCTTATATCTATAGGGAGGTCTGGTGGCTTAGTGGTAAGGAGTTGCACTGCCAATGCACAGGAACACGGTTTGAATCCACCAGATGCTCCATAGAAAAAACGATGGGCAATGTCCTTTTGTCCAATTTACTGCCTCTGAAAATGCACTGGTGGGTCTGCTATGAGTTGATTCTAATTCAATAGTATACAACAACAACGACAATGTAAAAATTATAAACCAAACCTCCAAATCAAGTCAGAACAGACTCATAGCTGCCCTGCCAATGAGTTTCTGGAGTCTGTGAATTGCATGGGAGGACATTGCTCGCCTTTATCCTGAGGAGTAGGTGGTGGATTTGAACTGCCTGTCTTTGAATTGATAATGCAACTCCTCACCCATTAGGCCATTGTTGTTGTATTGTTGTATACCATTGAGTTGGAAATTACCCAAATCTGATCCTCCAGTAGGTTTTCAGAGGCAGAAAATTTTATGAGAGTATA